ACATCTGCCCCGGGCCTCTAGCTGATGCCTAGACCTCCTCTCCACATCCGCACATGGCCCTCTTGCCTTTGCTGAAACACCTCCGGTAACAGGACCTCACTACCTCACAAGGTATCTTTTTTGAGTTTCTATAGTTCTGATAATCAGGAACTTCTTTGAATTCAACTAAAATCTGCCTCCTTTTAATTTTTTCTTGGAACCCCATCTTTTCTCTGGGGAGAGGCGACACTTAGAGCCCCATGTATCCTCAGCCCAGGGGCATCCTAGTGCGAGCCCTGTCCTCAAGCCAACCGAAAGGCCACAACCATTCCCTGTGGGCTATCGAGAGAAGGGAACGAGAGAGACTTCATCTTTTTCTTTGGCTTCTGGAACAGAATGGGGCTGGGGGAGGGAAAAGACACTTGGGTGAAGAGTCACTTCCAGGGAAACTTCAGGCAGGTCACTTAACCTCAGTTTACTAGTCTGTAAGATGGGGAGAAGCACAAGGTCCACTGAATCCTGGGACTGCTGTGCAACGCAAACTTTCATTTACAGGTGACTATGGCTAGGACGTGTTTAATTCCCTCAAAGTCCAGAGAGAATGACAGCACCAGCTCCGTGTTACAGGGGCAGCAGCTGAAGCTAACTGACTTGACTGAGGGAGGTGCAAGCTGGGGGTGGGGGGCAGCTGGGATCTGAAAACCAGCCTGTCTGGGTCCACTGCTGTGAGGATACTGTTCTGGCTCTTTCCCCAGGCGAAGCAGCATCCCCGTGGGAGGTCCTCACCTTTCACCACGACCTCCAGGGTAGCCTCGCTGTCCTCAATGCCGTGCATAACCTCACAGCGGTACATCCCAGAGTCATTGGAACGCAGGTTCTGGATTTCCAAGGTGGCGTCGCTGGGGATGGCCGGATAGTTGGGCAGCGAGACCTTGTCTTGGTAGGCACTGTTAACCCGCACCTGCCCTTCCGTGGCCACTAGCAACACTACCTCCTTCTCCTTGGAAATGCGGCTCCACTTGATTCTCGGGGAGAGGGGGGCGGTGGAGGGGGCGGTGGTCACGGGGTGCACGGGGTCGATGAAGTAGCAGGGGATGGTGAGGGAGCTCCCCAGGAGGACCCGCAGCGGGGACGGTTCGGGGATGCCGACACTCAGCGAGTTGTCAGGGTCTGTGGGGGAGAGACAGAGCTGTTAGTGCCGAGAGAGGACCGCCCAGCCTCCCTGTCATTTTGGAAATGACAAAAGCCCGTGAGCGTGTCCGCATCTATGGTGGGGGCCGTTCCTGTGCCATCGGGAATTCCCGGGAAGCGTTGTTACACCTTTTCCAGAGCAGCGTTCCTCAAGCCCCCTGGTCTCTGTGCCACAAGACAGGAACTATGGAGCTGGAAAAGGCCTGCAGAGGAGGGCAAGGAAAGCTCCAGAGCTGACAGCCTCTTCTCTGTTCCTCAAACTGGGGTACCCCGGGGGATGCCAAGCCATAAGACAAACAGGACCATCTTTCTGGAGTGACAGCTTGACTCAAAGATTTTTGGGGAAAAAAATCATGTTGGGGCAGGAAAGATTATTATGGGGAAGAAAAAAAAATCCACACAATGTTTAAAGCGCTCCGATGCGAAACTTCAAAGGTGCGTCCCAGCTGAGGGGGTCCACTTTGGACTCCGTCCCGACTTTGCTGAGGGATAAGGCATTCTCTTCTGCTGTTGGAGAACGGAGCGGGGGGCGGGGGGGGGGGGGTCTGACACATTTACATATGTCTGCAAAGAATCAGACCGGGGTGGGGGGGGTGGATGATCAGCTCCACAAAAACTCATGGAGAGTGTTAGTAGGGACCAAAATCCTGACCAAATCCTGTCAGAAATAAAAGATCCTCCTGGGATGGGAAACAGCTTTTGCAAAAATAGCATGTCATACACTTATGGCCCCCCCTCTTTTTTTTCCAGGAGAGCCTACAGGTTGAAAATAAAAATGCTCCAGATATTTGTGGGTGGTAGACACACAACAGGGCAAGGAAGGGGGTGCCAGGAATGTTTAGGGTCCAGACCCAGCCTTCTGATGTCCTGGGCAGCCACCACCAGGTCCTTCCACAAAAATCTCCCTCTGAGGGCTCAGCCCATGCCCCGTAACACAGCATGGTTTTAGCGCTGGCGGTTCTCTGGGGAGAGCTAAGAGTGACAGCAGTGTCCAACCCTGCCGTTTTTAAAGCTCTCAACCAACCCTAGGAACCGGTTTGCCTGTGTGGACAAACCACCCAGGTTACGGCCCGGGGCCGGGTATCTGTGGGTCCCAGAGAAGGAGTACAGATGGAGACCCATAGAGCCTGCGTATAAATATTTAAAAGTTATAAATCAAGGCCACAGATTGTTAAATAAAATATGTTCTATTTTGCTATTGGACAATGATACCTTTCAAAAGGAGAAGCCAGACTCACATTTAGAATTCTTGGATTCCTTGGAGTTTTGGATTGGGTGGCCACGCAGGAGGCCGGCTTCTCTGCCATGTCTCTGCCCTGTGAGGGCTCGGTGCTTACCCCAGCCCTCACGCCCCAGCTCCGTCCACACCCCATACAAACGGCCACCCCTTGACTCCTCCCATGGGCCTGGGGTAGCTCACACCAGGGGAATGGTCCCCCGTCTAGGAGGATGGGCCCAGAGGAGACACCTATGTGTCTCTGGAAGTGGCTTGGGTCCACTTGGGCAGGGAATTAGGGGCATCCTAGGTACCCAGTGTGGTCTAAAGGGGGAGCATAGATCTGTGTGGACATGTCTCATTGGCCCTACAGATTCCTCATCCTTTAAGGAGCACTGGGGCTGGAGGAGGGCCAGAGGAAGGCCTCTACAGTGCATGGCCCAGAGCAGGGGCCTCTCTGGCCTGGGTCTAAGGGAGATACAGCCCACTTTGGGGCAAACCCGTCCTGGGGTCAGTGGATAGTTTGTTCATTTGGTTTAGGGCCTGATGACCAGAAACCCACCTAGTGCCTGCCACATGTAAGAGACCATGGTGGGGGGGGGGGGGCGGTCTTCCCTGAGGATGGCTTGCCTAGATAAACAAAGACGTGTGTGATTTGTTGGTGGCTTCTTTCTGACCGCTTCTCAAGCAAGTTTCTCTTCTTTGATATCCCAGTTGATCTTCCCTTGCTGGCATTTCCTCTTTTGGCTTATCTATATCCTGCCTCTACCCCAAGCTCAGTATGTGGCAATTTGGGGTAAGGTCCACAGAGGGGAGACTGGGAAGATGGCCACCTGCCAGGAGCTCTCCCCCTCATGCTCTCTGTCCATCCTAGAGGGCAGCCGGGAGAAGCAGTACCCAAGCAAGGGCTCCTGGACGCACGCGTGTCGCCCTCATCCCTTGTGGTTAGCCTTGCCTTCGTTCGATAGGAAAGAGCCAGGGCCAGGAAAAGGCCAGGAAAGGGGAAATCATAACCCTGGGAGTAGCAGCACTAAGTTCGGGACCCAGTACCCAGAATCCAGTCTTCAGTGCCTGCTGGATACATGAGACACGCACGGGAGTGTCCTCACCTGAAGCTTCTATTGCGCTGGCTGCTGTAATGACCCTCAGAGTCACAAACACCAAGAGTAAAGTGGTCATAGTTCACCTGGAAGAAGGGAGGCAGAGGAGTTAGGTTCAGCTACAGTGCGGTTGAGGGTCACGTGGGCATAGGACGCAAGGTGATAAATTCCACGTGCAGGGATCTGAAATCACATCAAGATAAAGAGGCTACATGTGGTTGGAGGGATGCCTTCTGTAAGAATCCTCTCGTCACAAAGCCTTCACAGGTTTCTCGGTTTCATTGCATGTGGCAGGCTGGAAACCTCCTGTCCTTTCTAGGCAACCTCTTCTTCCCATCTTCTAATCTGCAAAGGCTGATCTGGAAGGATCCCTGTGATGGTTGATTTTATATCAGCTTGACTGGGCCCTGGGGTCCTCAGGTATGTGTTCAAATGTTATTCTGGGTGTGTCTGTGAGGGTGTTCTTGGGCGAGATGAGCATTTAAGTTGGTAGACTAAAGCAGATTGGCCTGTTAATGTGGGTGGGCCTCATCCAATCAGTTGATGGTACGAATAAAACAAAAAAGGCTGAACCTCCCCCAGGAGAGAGAGAGAATTCCTCTTTCCTGATGACCTTCAAACCACCTTCAGACTTGAACCCAGACAGTGGCTCTTCCTGGGTCTCGAGTCTTCAGAGTCAGGCTACAACGACACCCTGGTTCTCCTGGGCCCCCAGCTTGCCTGATACCTCTGTAATCATGTGAGCCAAGTCCTTCTAGTAAATCTCTTATTCTATGTATGCATACCTCCAGTTGCCTCTTCCTCTCTGGAGATCCCTGTCAGAATCCCTGAGAAATGAAATGAGTTAGCCAACCTCCCTGATGAAATCCAGACCTGTCACCAACTTCAAATTCAAGAACCTTGTGTGTTTAGGATGAAGAATGCTCCAAGCTTTCGTGCACAATTCAGGGGCCTGCTTCAAGCCAGGGGAAGGATGCCCACCCAGAGAGCTCTTGAGGAGGCTCAGGGATGGGCAGGTTAATGATGTAGGAGGGCAATGAGAATCCGGGACCCCCGGAGCCCTCCTGCTGGCCTCAACAATGACTTCATGTGCATCAGAAAAACCTTCCTTTTCTGCTGGAGAACTGTCACGCCAAGTATACAGATATGTGACAATCACATCATAAAGGCATTCCCTGCACAATTGGGCTCTTGACTCCCAAGTGGACCGTGCACAGACCCTCAAAAGACCCCATTAAATTTCTAGGAGGTCAGCCAGAGCAGTGATTGTCAGCCTTGGCTGTGCACTGAAATCACCTGGGCGTCAGCCTGGTCTTCAGGCATTCAGAAGCTCCCAGATGCTTCTAATGTGCGGCCTAGATGAGCACCGCTGGTTAGAGGGTGTGCAGTCACGCTGCGGAGGCCTGTTGACTGGCACTCCCTGACACGTGCCCGACGATGTCTCTTGAGCTCTCCTGCGGGAGGGTCCTGTGCTGGGGCCCATCCTGCCCTCCTCTCCGGTGTGGGAGCATTCCATTTTGGTTTGAGAAGTGTCTGCATCACAGATGCTCCTTGGGGAGGAGAGAGGCAGCCCTGGAGGGGGAGGGGGTGGAGGATCTGGAACTAAAGACATGAATGGAGCTTCCGGGGGCTTTGGGAAGCTGGGGTGACGCCCCCGGGTTCTCTGCTGGGTCAGAGTCTGATGGCCCAGCAGGTGTCGCTGTTGGCTCAGTCACCATCAGCGGGGGGGCTCCTGGGCTGCCATCCCAGGAATGCCTGGGAGAGGGGCGGGCAGGGGACAGGACTCTGAGGAACCCTTTTGGGTGACCTGCCCTGTTGTTTTGAGTGACCTTTCTTTCTATCACAATCTGTCATTCATGCCACATACGTTGGTCACCTGAGGGATGGAAGGGCTGTCTGTGTGGCCCTGCTGGGGGGACAGAGACGAATGCGTGAGGCACGTTCCCCTCACACCATAGGAAGTCTGGAAAATGCCAGAGACCTAACAAGCAGCCCCTTGCTTCTCTCCTCAGGGACTTTTCTCCGATGTTGCCTTCAAAAAACGATCTCTGGGGTTCCAGGTGCTGGGACCGTCAGGGGCCACGGAGTTGTGGGCACTCCTGTTCAGGCCCGGTATGACACCCCCGGCCCCACTGAGGCTAAAAGGGTAAGGTGTCCCCTCCGGTCTGGGGAGGGGGCTAGACTTGTGGGCTCCTCTCTTCCCAGAGCCTCAGGGATACTGTGTCCAGACACAGGGCCCGCCTGTTCTTCCCTCAGAACACCCTCCACTGGGAAATTTTGTGTATGTTTTCGGAGGTGTGTTTCTTCCCAAACTCTGTGAACAAGACTGATATTGTCTGGGATGCAGTGCTTCTCTGTGGGGCTTGGGCCCGCTCTGTGTTTCTCCTTGGCCTCGACCAGGAATGAAAAGGGTGGAGGCTTGGGGTAGGGGTGGACTGGGCAGAGAAACTAATTTTATTTCTTCTTCTTCTTCTTCTTTTTTTTTTTTAAAGACAAACTTTGGGCTAGAAACATCGCAATAAATATGCTCTTGTGTGTGTGTGTGTGTTTTCTCAGCTGTAAAGAAAATAGGGAGAAATTCCATTCTGTCTGGGTTCCAAGTGTCTCCAGGACTCACTGCGTCTTTTATGGGAGGAGGTGGACACTGCCAGATGGTCAACAGGGAGGCCTTTCTCCATGGGAAGCAAAGCCAGGTGGAGGCGAGGGGGAATGTGTAGCCAGGGCAGAGCAAGGGGACAGGGGCGTCAGAAACGAAGGGTAAAGAGGAGTTTGGGGGAGCAGGAAGTGGGTGCTGGATGAAGGCCGGGGTGCGAGGGGTCCCGTGTGTGGTTGGGTTGGTCATCAAGGAGCTGGCTTCCTCGGGAGAGAAGTGCTAGGAGACCCGACGGGGGAAAGCAAGCTTAGCGGGGCTTTTAAACTGAGCTGAGGGTGCGTGTGTGTGTGCGTGTAGATAGGGAAACCCTCCGCCTCCTCATCAGCTAGCCTCTGTCACGTGGTCAGGTGCCAACCTGGCCGTGGCCTTAGCCTTTACTCCACCCGATTAAGACACTGGGTGGGCAGCTTACCCGCTTGCCTTGAATCTCTGTTCCCGCACCGTGCAGTGGAGACCCCCGGACCTGAGGCACCCCCCGCTCCCCCCCCCCCCCCCAGGCCAGAGGTATCCAGTCCTGGTCCTGGCGTGGCCACCTCCTACTTTAATAACACAGGACCCACCCCCATGGCTGTTTCGAGACTGAGAGAGATAATGTGACAGGCAGGTTCCCTTTTGAGGGTGGGGGCCGTGTCTCCAGCTCGGAACTCAGTAGGCATCCGTCAGCACCACTGCCCCCACGTCCCTGGTGGCAGGACTGGGTGAGCCTCTCCAGGTGTGTGGGCTGGAAGAGCACCCAGCGGCTGGGGCTTCACAGCCGTGACCTCCCTGCCAGGGATCCTGTCCACGTGCATCTGAGGCACGTGGTCCGCAGTCTCTAACTGAATAGGAGGTGCCCATTCACAAGGTGGCTCATGCCATGGCTGGGCTGCTGGGATGGTGTTCAACATCTTCCAAGCTGGGGTCTGAATGACCCACCCCCATTATACTTTCGACCCAGGAGCTCTACTCTCAGGGACCGCAATAAAAATGTCCACTCCTCTTGCAAGGGACTCATGCCAGATCTTCAGGGGTCCTGTCTTCTCCCACGAGCTGCCCAGTTCCTTCAACTCTTCCTCATGTACCTTCCAGATCTCGCCCTCCCTCCTGGAGCCACAGACGTTAGTGCATGTCAAGTTCAACTCCTTCATTTTACAGGTGAAGAAACGGAGGTCCAAAGAAGTTAAGAGATTTGCTCAAGGCCACATAGTAAGTTGAAGATGGAACCAGGGCCAGAACTAGGGGCGTGGTCATCATCATCCCATGTTGTAAGCTCTACAAGGCAGTGGCCACATCTGTCTTGTGCCTCCCTGTCTCCCCAGCCCCCGGCAGAGCACCCAGCCCAGAGAGAGGTCAATCAGGAAATATCTGCTGAATGAATGAATAAATGGAGGCCTAAGCACCCTAGGCCTCTGAAGGAGGAGGAGGGGTGCTGGAGGCTAAGCATCTATGAGGTGCATGGCTTTTGGGGGTAGACCACTCCCATTTTGCATTCAGCACATCTCAGGTAGAGAGATACATACTGCTCGCTTGTGATGTACATGGCTGTGTTGATTCATGCCAGCGTCCCAATAATGGCATGTGACTTTGGGAAGGTCACAGCCCATGTGCAGCTCAGGGGTGTGACAAATAGGGTCTTCCATTCCCAGGGCCCCAGGGAGAACTGCTGGGATGCCATAGCCAGCCTGCACTGGCTGGCCAGAGACAATTTTGGATATCTCTTCCCAACTCCGTTTTCAACGATATCACATTGGTAGCCAGAAATTGGTCATGATGGGAACATTTCTGGCACAGAAATGAGGGAACACTACAAACGGGGACTTCTGTCTTGCTCTCCCTTTTTGGGAGTGGGCTTATCAGCACACTACTGGAAGTAACTAATACTAAATAAAGAACAAGGCTGGTTCTCCTCTCACAACTGGGCTGCAGCCAGGTTAGCACTTTCTTTTTTCTCCTATAGATGCTAGCTTTGCCTCATCATGCAGATCATGACCTCCTTAAGGATGAAAGACAAGTTTTAAGTTAAAAAAAAAAAAAAAGAATTCCCTCCATGTTAACTCAGCGCTGGGAACAACAAAAATGATTTTCGATACTACTTATTGATGAACCAGCGGACATTGGAATTTGGTAGAGTGATTGACAAGTAAGATTTGTCAGTAACTAAGCAGCTCTATGTCCGTGACTTAAGTCCTGAGGAAAGGATTGAAAAGGACCAAGGTCACCCATTCCTCCAGCCACTGGCCTCCATCATATCACTTATTTGCAGGCTAATCTCACAACCATGTCTCTTGTTGTTCATGGACAAGCCCCTTCCTACATCTGTGCATAACAGTATTGACATATGCACTTAACACTGGGATTTCAAACCCAGCATAGAGAAAGGGGCAGGAGTCCCACACCAAGGACACATCTAGCCACAGTGACCCCGAATACACCTCCTAATTTTCCATATACTCT